TTTATTTGAGGTTATTATTGTAATAAAAAAAGCTAAAAATTGAAAGATTCAAAACAATTTATGAGGTGCTGATAGCAACACTCTATTAGAATATAAATTTAATCTATTAATGAAATATATTGCGAGTATTAATAATGTGTAAACATAATCACCCATAGTAATAAAGTTCATTTTATTATAAATTACATGGACCTCGTAATTTACAACAATTACAAATATCTCACTTTAAGTTATTGAAACAACAATTACATGTCTTTTGTTAAATGGCTAGAAATAAGTTAATGAACTCTAAAATAATTTTAGTATAAAGTTTTGCAAAGGCTACCTTTAGTTGCTTTCTTATGTGATTCACTTTTTGAGAAGTGGCAGTTTATTTATTTTTTAACTTATTTGAGTTATATCATTTCTCTAATTTTTTACATATATTTTTGTAATAAGTAAAATAATTTAATAATTTTATGAAAAAAAACTACATTTTTATTTTTAAAGAAAAAAAATTATGTTCACACAAAAAAAAAAAAAACTAATTTTTGATGTGTTTAATAGAATAAAACAAGTTTGGCTCTTCAATAACACTAGTATCATTAATTTGGAGTGTTTTAGAGGACTTAAAGTTGAAATCTATTTATTAAAATGGACGAATTATAACATATTAAATTAATCGCTCAATTTTATATTACAAATGATAAATAAATTGAAAGGAAAATTAATAACATGAATTAAAAGTAATTTTAATTATTTTTTTTATTTTTATTCATTTGGCAAATAAAAATATGTAAAAGCAAAAGTTACGCAAAAAATATTTTAAAATGTAATATATAAGCATCATATGGATGTGAAGGTAGGAACCAATAAAACTAAGGGTAAATTACAAATACACATATGAAATTTGCTTAAAATATAAATTGTTCCTATAGTTTGAAAAATTACAAATACCTCCTTATTAAAAAAATTTATTTAATAGAATTAGCTAAAAAAATAAAATTTATAATTGCTCTCCTATACAATAATAAAATTATCTAAATTATTAATTGAAACATATTTTTACCATCATTAAAAATTATTAATTGACTTGATGATTTATTAATAAAAGGGGCGATCTGTTATGAAATTAAAAACCTCAGGGGTGGAATGTAATTTTCAAAACCACAAGAGACGATTTGTATTTTAATTAAATTTCAGGGGGTGTATTTGTAATTTATCCTAAAACTAAAAGACTGACTTGGGTGTGCTTATGCAACAATTATATATAGATAGTTACAAATGATTCAGAATGTATTTAACTTAGAGAGAAGGGTAATTTGGTAACTAAAACATTTCGTGTATTATATGGCCAGGTAATTCTATTTATACACCATAAATTGTCTCAATACATATCATTAAAATATTAAATTTATATTAAAATAATATCCTTAAATAAAATGATTATTAATGACAATAATGGTGTGTATTCTACCAATCCAAGTATTCCTACATCAAAACAAAACACTCTTTACACACCATCAAAAGGTTAAAAATATCAAAAGTGCGAAATAAGTAATGGTATGTACTGAGAGAATTTTTAGCGTATAAATGGAATTTTCATATATGGCCTTATATGCTATTAGGCTTCAACATACTAACTTGAGCCTTTGTTGTAAATCTTTGGGCTTCAAGACACCAACTTCAATATTTATTTATTTTATTTCAAACTTTATTTTACAAAATAAACCTAAACTAAAACTAAACTAATAAATGAAACGAAATTTATAGAAGTATTGTACTAGAAAGAAAAATGAAATGAATTATATAAAGAGTAAAGTTAGGAATAGTAATTTTTGTGCCAACTAACAAACAAATAGTGTTTGTAACATATTACCCTTTTATGTCTTAGTTACTATGTTACGGTATACTAATCAGTGTTTGTAATATTATTGTTATATAAATAGGATGCTACTATTGGCACCTGTCAAAATTCTTTGGACCCCTCATTTTATAATTTTTTTTATTACAATTATACCGTAAAGTAAAATTACATTAAAAGACATTATTAAATGGAACACCCACCTATCAAATAAGAACTAATACTCTATAATATTGGACACCCACCCCTACCTCAACCCCCAACTCCAACTCTAACTATATGTATTCTATGTTCGTATACCCTAAACCTATTACTTTTCATAACCAACCAACATAAACCCTAAATCTATTATTTTTCATAATCATCTTAAATCCTGAATCTTCATCACCATTATCAACCCTATTGAACTTGAAAGTTTTGCTTCAAGTATAACATATACTTCATCACTTATTTCATTGTGTAGAGCAATAGAGGACGATGACAACAATTCTAGTGAGACCGGCGTTCCATTGGTAAGTTTATTTGTCTTGTATTAACATTCTCGGTCGTTTTCGATCGTTTTCATTCGTTCTTGTTTTGTTCAAGCTGTTCGGTACTGGTTTGCCGACTGTTAGGATTATGTTCGGTAATACAGTATTGAATATAATCCTTTCATTCAATACATAAGTTCCGAACATTAATACAGATAGTCAGTACTGTTAAACCGAATATTATCTTTTATTTTCGACAGTGTTGAATTGAACAAAACCATTAGTTTCAGGACTGTTTGTTCAAGCTGTTCGGTACTGGTTTGCCGACTGTTAGGATTATGTTTGGTAATACAGTACTGAATATAATCCTTTCATTCAATACATAAGTTCCGAACATTAATACAGATAGTCAGTACTGTTAAACCGAATATTATCTTTTATTTTCGACACTGTTGAACTGAACAAAACCATTAGTTTCAGGACTGTTGAAATGAACATCATTTTTTCAATTTTGAAATTACATTCACACGTGTTTTCAGGGTGATGCTTCGACTAGAGGCAGTAAGGTTGATTCAGAACTTGTAATGGATTATAGTAATGAATTTGTTACTCATGAGGTGAGTCTATGATCGTTTTACAAATAATGTACCTCTTTTATGTGCAATAATTAGTTAGTTTAATTTATTTATTTCAGATATTCAAGAGTCGAGATGAGTTAATTCGATGGGCACATCAAGTTGGAAGAAGAAATTGATTCATTATTGTCGTGCAGAAATCAGATGGAGGTGGTATTCGTGGTAGGAAGCCAAGACTTAGCTTAGCTTGTGAGAGGGGTGGATCTTATAGGGACACTTGAAAAACCAAGACTTAGCTTAGCTTGTGAGAGGGGTGGATCTTATAGGGACACTTGAAAAACATAGCAGGCCTAAGACAAAAAAAGCAAGACTGAAAATGTGAATTAAATTATCTGGTTTGTTGCTGCCCTGTTTGTCTCCTCTTTCCTTTTTTTTTTCTTTTTTTTTTTTTTTTTTTTTTTTTTTTTTTTTTTTTTTTGCAGAAAATTCAAATATAAGTTTTTTATGTGGAAGAAAATTCAGATGTAATAGAAGTCTAAATTTTCATTTTCTTACTTCTTACCCACCAAACAAATATAAACTTGGAATTTATTCAAAATTCTGCGAATAACTCTGGCAATGTTGTGTGCTAAGTTAGACAGCAGTACAAAAAAGCTAAAAATACTTCTCAAAAGATCAGTCATGCCAATGAAAAACATTTGTTAGAGATTTCAATCAACCATTAGACCTAAACAAATTAGCCAATGTATGTAATTGATCTTTGAAGAGTCAGTCATTCAACGGTTTGTCTTACAAAATCCTCATCCTCAGCATGATGAGTTTAAATCTTACCAATTGCCGGAAGAACATAACTTTTTTGGCTTAAAATACGGTACAATATTACAGAGTCAAGTGCCCTTTTCTTTGTTGACAATTTTTGATTTATCATTTACAACAAACAATGTATAACAAAAACTAACCTAATAACCTCACTACTATATAATGTTTAAGTAATAGAAGTAACACACACACACACACACAAAAACAACAAGAACAACAACAACATACAAACAAACAAAATTTAAAAATAAAAAATATGAAAAATTATGAAGAAAGTGCTTCTAAAGCTTATTATAGAAAACAGAGGCAAAACCAATGGCAATGGCAATGCCTCACAACAACAGAAAATGGACAATTTTATACTATATATACAGTACAGACATAAAAACCTCACACTTAAAAAAATCAACTGGTCCCAACACTCCAAGACAAAGGATCAGCCAAACAAATTTTGTTCTCATCATGCACAAAGAAAACACAACCAAAATACCCAACACTCTAAGACAAAGGATCAACCAAACAAATTTTCTAAAAGACAAATGGTTCTAATATTTTTTTTTATATATTTTATTTCTAGTTGATATGTACACTTCTATTACATTATAATATTCAAGCCATCCATTAGATTATAATATTCAGACCTCTATTCCCAAAAAAATTTGAATTTTATGTGAAATCAGACCATCCATTACATTATAATATTCTCTCACAATTAGGGTCTTGTGTGGTGGTGATTTTGGTTGGTAAAGGGTTTTTGTTTGTGTGGTTATGATTAATTGAAGAGAAAGAAGAAGTAAATTATACCTTTGATGGTAGATGAAAAAGTCTACAGCTTGTCTTAGCACTGTAATGCCGGTTCGATTCAAAAGTTTTGAATTTCCACCAAACGAATTTCAGCAGCACTTGTAAGAAAAAGGAAAAAAAAGAAAGAAAAGGAAGAGCAATGTCCCCAAGTACTTTCAGCAGCACTTTGAATGGATTCAATCGGTGCGGAGAAGATGAATAGAGTAGATGGACGGTTAGGGAAGGAGAGCTATGAAAAATTGGATGGGTGTGTATTTGATTGTGAAAATATCATAAATATGGGTAAATTTAGTAATAAGTGGGGGTGTCCAAAAATATATTATTAAAATTAAGGGTTTAGGGTTGGGGTCCAAAAAAATGGAGGATCTAAAAAATTTTGACAGGTGCTAATAGCAACACTCTATAAATATCCTAGTCCTAGCATTAGTATGAGAACATTGACCATGTTAGGGCGATCCATCTTGATGACGAATTCCACAATAACGTGGCTTTATGGATTAGAAATCAAAACATTATTTTGGAAATAAATATCAATTAGAAATCTTATTCTCAGCACTAGTGGAAAAAGCTATGAAGTCTTTTTGAGTTTATACATTCTGGCACAGAAGACATAAACCAAGAAGTTTAAGAAGCTGAGTCCAGCCAACAGCCAGAAGAAATAATCAAGATGGCCTTCATTCAAGTTATCCGGTATCCATCCAACCTTCCCGCCCTCGGTTGTTATAGCTGTCACTACTGTAAGAATAAGAGAGATCAAGTAATTTCCCAACGAAAACAACATGAGCCAAAATGCAGTACACAAGCTACGCATGCCATCTGGCGACTGCTCGTAAAAGAACTCAAGCTGACCGATGAATGTAAACACTTCTGCAAACCCAAACAAGAAATACTGAGGAATTTGCCATGCGATACTAATTGGTACTGGAACATCTTCATCAACCAAACCAAGGGCTTTTGCAAGTGCCAACCTCTTCATCTCCAGCAAAGCAGCAGCAACCATGCTTAGTACTGAAATAAAGAGGCCGATTCCCATACGCCGTAAATTTGAAAAGCCTTTTTCCGAGCCAGTAAATTTCCTTGCAATTGGGACAAGAACCCAATCGTAGACTGGGATCCAGAAAATGACACTGATGACTTCAATTGTTGCAAGAGAGGCTGCAGGAATGGTGAAGGAGCCAATAGTCCTGTCCATCATCATCCCTTGCTCAACAAACATTGTACATATTTGTGCATAAACAGCACAAATGATAATTCCAGTAGCCCAAATTGGAAACATGCGGATCAATATTTTCAGTTCCTCCACCTGTGTTACAGTGCAAAGTCTCCACGGATTGGAGAAGTCCCCATCTTGGTTCTCAGCATCTGGGATTACTGCAGCTTTGTCGAGGCACCTATAGAACAGAAGAGTTTTAGGAAATAAATGGGTGGGAATTAATTATCATAAAGTAAAAGTCTAAAAGAAAAGATGACAGTACAATAGATAAATATAAGAATTCAGTTAGTTGATAACTTCAGATATAACAAGTCATTTTTTGGCAAGAGAAAACATGGTTAGATTTTAGCAAACTCTCATTTTTATCGCAGTTGAGGAGTCCAAGAACCAACCCCTCCTCCCCACTCTCCCCCAAACCCAACAAAAGGATCAAATTCTCATTTTGGTATGTGGTTTTGGTCAACTAGGAAACCAATAACTTTACTAAAAGGAAAAAAAAATGAAAAAAATAAAAAATTATTTGTGACATAGAGAAATGTTGGAAAAAACATAAAACTTACCCAAACGTATACACGCGAACTAAATTCTTTCCCCACTACCAAAAAAATATAAAAATATGGAATGAAGGACATAAAAATAAGATTAAGAATTTAAGATTTGTTTAAATACAAAGAAAGGAACAATTTTAAGGAGATAAAATAGATTAGAGAACTTGCTATTACTTTGATCACACTGCTGCATCTTCCCAGCAATTTTCAATTGCCTTCCAATCCTTCCTCTTAGTCCATAGATGATAAGGATATAAAGCCAATTGCAACGAACAACTTGTAAGAGGACCCAGTGAAAGGAGGAATTCATAAAAATAACCATAGAAAGACCACTTCAAGATACTGAAAGACAAAGCGATTGCATTTCAGGTCCTGACATCTCAAATGAAATCATATTTTTGTAATCCCTGCTAAAAAATGCAATAACTTGTTCACGAAACCATGAATTTTGCATAACTCCTTAAATAATCACAATGAAAAAGAAATGAAAAAAAATAAAACAATCAACATATTTAAAAAGTGACTTCAACTAAACACATCAGAACTCCTATAATTACCTTCCCAGAAGAAGTTTACAGAACCATAACAAAATAAACGAGGACACCTAACTGTGTATTCACACCCCAATTGAGATAAACCCAGTAAAGGTAATTCAATAAACCTATTACTTAGGCCTCGTTTGGGAACAGGCTAATTTAGTAACTTTTTGGCTATTTGGCTAAAAAGGTAAGTAAAAAAAACTTGTATGTTTGGGATGACTTTTTGGCTAATTACGAAAAGATGTGCAAAAAGTAGAGAGAAAAGAGAATCTTTGACTTTTTGGTATGGGTTGTTGGCTTTTTGGCTAATTTAGTAACTTTTTGGCTAATTGGCTAAAATAGCCTCTTGCCAAACGAGGCCTTAGTCTCAAAGTCTCAAGATTTTCAGGTCCTGACATCTCAAATGAAATCATATTTTTGTAATCCCTGCTAAAAAATGCAATAACTTGTTCACGAAACCATGAATTTTGCATAACTCCTTAAATAATCACAATGAAAAAGAAATGAAAAAAAATAAAACAATCAACATATTTAAAAAGTGACTTCAACTAAACACATCAGAACTCCTATAATTACCTTCCCAGAAGATGTTTACAGAACCATAACAAAATAAACGAGGACACCTAACTGTGTATTCACACCCCAATTGAGATAAACCCACTAAAGGTAATTCAATAAACCTATTACTTAGTCTCAAAGTCTCAAGATTCTCAAGACATTCACAAGAGAGCATCATATAATCTCATTACTACCAGTATATGTAATTATGTTGGTGATCCTATTTACAGAACCAACATGTGTGCTCAATGCAAAATACATAAAAGTCATTGCTTATGCTAATACCCAAATACCCTATAAAATTCGCTTAAGGTGAAAATCAATAGACAAATATGCGAATAAGTTTCCAGATGAAAAAAGAAAACTGATAATAGATCAAAATAAATGGTTCAGAATTGAATAAATGAAAAAATTTACTTCAGATCATCGGTATGGTCAAGTTTTCTGCTTCCTTCAGTTGCTGAGGTTTTGTCTGGTGTTTCATACAGGAGACTACTGTCTGTAGGAACCTCCAAATTCCACTTGTGAAATGATGCAACCAAAACTTGGCAAATTCTGGTAAGAGGGCTACCCCCTGGCTTCTGAAATCTATACAAAGGAGTGCCTAAAAAGAAATTTGCAATGGCAGTGCCCATAAACAATGCAGAGATGCCAAAACCCAGGCCCCACCCAATATTTTCTTGAATCCACACAATTAAACTACCTGCTACAAGAGCACCTATATCGATAGAAAAATAAAACCAATTAAAGAAAGACCCCTTCTTTACCCTCTCTTTTGGATCGGTATCATCAAATTGACCCGCTCCAAAGGAAGAAACACATGGTTTGATCCCGCCAGTTCCTAGTGCAATCAGATACAGCCCAAAATACAATACCACATACTGAGCAGTAGTAGCTGAAGGGCATATGGAACCAACACATTCAGCTGGCTTAAGTGCAGGAACTGAGGCTGATATAGTCATTGTGCACATTCCCTGTACAAAATAATAAAGTTCACAAATGTAAGAAAGATAGAGATGAAATCCATTCCAGAAAATTTTGAAAGGACCGAACACATAAAAAGATTGATGGATCACAGTTAATAAGAAAACCTCTACAGGGACATGATCCAAATCACAACATTAGAGTCAATAAAAATTTCCTTACAGAACATTAAATTTGTCCAGAAATTTTGTTCTCACTTCTTTTCCTGTTTTATATTAAGTAATAAAAATACTTGAAAAAAAACATCGTAGAATTGAGAGTTATCAGAAAAGACTGAAGATAGGGTAAAACAAAAGCCTAAGTTCTTAAAAAGGCAGTCATCCAATCAAAAAAGCTTCATCATATGAAATTCTTCTCCATTCTTGATTTAATAAAATGTTCAGATTCTTTGTGCTTTAATCCTTGAAGATAATCCCCAGTTTAAGTGACATATGTAGCTCTATTACCATCGCACCATGCTGTTGGGAAAGTTGCAGAGTGCTAACTCATTATACTAGAAAGTTGAAACCACTAGTACCACTCAAGTCCATCATTCACGTGATATTGGACTAGATGATGGTTACAGCTAGGTATCTAAGGTCATAAATATAGAAATTAATTACTTTCTGCTGGAAATTTGTGTTAATAAGATAGTATGCTGTTGGGAAAGTTGCAGAGTGCTAACTCATTATACTAGAAAGTTGAAACCACTAGTACCACTCAAGTCCATCATTCACGTGATATTGGACTAGATGATGGTTACAGCTAGGTATCTAAGGTCATAAATATAGAAATTAATTACTTTCTTATTAAAATGAAAAAAGATATAAAATAAGAATATTAAATTTCTTGAAACTCATAGAAAGTAGAAACTATTGTCTTTTGAGTAAAGCACGTCACAATCAATAACTTTTTGAAATATTAAACATATCTTAATTGCTTTACTAATGAAGGAAAAATTCCATCAAGTTTATCAAAACTCAAATAATCTTCCACCATAAATAAAAAATAAAAAATTGACCCCATAATAACTTCATTACCACCAACCAATAGCTAAAAAAGTCATGCGCATCTAGAATGGACATGTCCCTGCAGTAGGGCACTATGGTTCCGACAGAAAGCTGTAGGTAACACATAATCAGAAGCTACAGAATCATTCAAATAACACACCTTCAGTCAAAAAAACTTTGAGAATGTAATGCATGTCCAACACAAAAGACCAAAGCAAGGATTAAAAGCTTAGGTGTTCATGTATCATTATCCATCCCTTCTTGAACTAAGTTTTTAGCACAGTGAAAACTTCAGTTCATACTTACTATAAAATATATTATGGAGAAGGCAGCAATTGTCCAATATCTTCCCCAATATGCATCTGCCAAGAGCGCTCCGATAAGGGGTGATATGTAGCAAGTGCCTGCCCAATTGGAAACATTTTTTGCAGCAGAGAAATTTCCTTCATGCATTGTTTGGGTGAGATAGTTGACAAGGTTAGTAGCAATCCCATAGTAAGCTAAACGTTCACAACATTCAGTACCTGTTTTAAATTTAAACATATTATGAGGAAATATGAACATTAGAAACGTAAAGAAATATAGAGAATGATGGAATAGGAACTACCAAGAATGAAGGAGCATGCTTTCCAATTTCCAGTGTTGCTCTTCAACACAGGTTGGCCCTTAATGTTAACCGAACCATCTCCAGTGTATGGCCCATTGCTTTCATTCTGAAGACATAAGAAGTAAGGCAGAAAGCAGAAACATTTTAGTATACAAACTTTGCAGAGTAAAACTCTCGTGCATGAGTACGGCTGGGTGGATTGTGTGTGTGTGTGTGTGTGAGAGAGAGAGAGAGAGAGAGAGAGAGTTTTGTCTTTTAATAGAAAATATCATTTTCCCTACCATTATGTAATCAAAATATTTGTATCTTTTTGTCAGTAATAAAGCAAAAAATTCATCCACATTTAAATAGATAAACACAATTAAGATAAAGTAGCTGCACAGAAGTCATTATTAACTTGGGATGGGGCTCAGGAACTTCCTGGAGTTCAACCAAAGTCAAGTAATTTATTTAACAGATAAAAAGAATTATCATTGGTTAAGCAGAAAAAATGAGCTACTCATGCCTCCATACTATCTCATTGAGCTAAGAAACCCCATGTTCTTTTGATAGGTAAGGTAAGAAACCCCACCTTAGAGCCTATATATAATTTGAAGAGTAAAAAATGTACTAGTTAGTCAAAAACCATAGAGTATCTTTTACTCCTAGCGTGTGAAGAATCTTTGGTCTACTCCTTTGATGTAAGAGTATGCTATAAAGTTTTATTTTGAGGCATTTTTTTATGAATATTGAAGGAGGACTTGAATATTAAGAAAAATATGTCATTTATATATTTTTCCATTCCATTATAGTTTGAGGATTGAAAATGTTATAATTCATATTGTGATTTGGATGGTGTTATTCAACAAATTTCTTGCAGTTAATATTTCTCAGAAAACTAGAGTAGCTGAACATAGAATGGTCACTTAGTTAAAAATTATAAAACTTTAATGCTATTTACTGTAGAAATTTAATGTATAAAGAGAAATAGAGAATTGTATTATTGATTGATGTATGTTAAATATTACAAATGGTGAGGGGCTCCTTATATAGGAGATGTAGTGGAGTAGGTGGTAGTAGGTGGTGGTAGGTGTAGTAGGTGGAGTAGGTGAAGTGGGTGGAGTAGGTGTAGTGGTAGGTTTTGGTACATTTTAACAGCCCCCCGCAAACTCAAGGGGGATAGGAACTAACCAACTTGAGTTTAGAGAGACTAACAAAACAAGAAAATAGACGAATACATAAAATAAAAAAGGATAGGAGACACTGTATGGTCTTGTCAGACCGTTGTAGAAGACTGTATGGTTATGGCAGACCGATGTAGAAGACACTGGCTCGTGTCGGACCGGTGTAGAAGACAGTTTACGGGGTCATGTCGGACCATTGTAGCAGTCAATGTTGTGACAGTTGTTGTGACAGTTTACGGAGTCTTGCTGGACCCTTGTAGAAACTAACCGGAATCAATGTCGGGACAGTTTACAGAGTCTTGTCAGACCCATAAAGGAGCTAACCGGAATCAATGTCGGGACAGCTTACAGAGTCTTGTCGGACCCTTGAAGGAGCTAACCGGAATCAATGTCGGGACAGTTTACAGAGTCTTGTCAGACCCATAAAGGAGCTAACCGGAATCAATGTCGAGACAGTTTACAGAGTCTTGTCGGACCCATAAAAAATCTAACCGGAATCAATGTCGAGACAGTTTACAGAGTCTTGTCGGACCCATAAAGGAGCTAACCGGAATCAAATGTCGGGACAGTTTACAGAGTCTTGTCAGACCCTTTGAAGGAGCGAACCGGAATCAATGTCGGGACAGTTTAGTTAAACCTGCATGGCACATGCTTGTACTCCTTGTCATGTTCTCAGTACAGCAGGTGCCATTAGAGTCCTTATTAAATAACTTAGCTTGACAAGGTTCTTCTGGTTCTAATAATTGTAACTTCCATTGCTTACTGATATCTGACCTTTGTTTCCTTCTAAAAGTTTCACTTTGTGAATTTTTCATTGCAATAATGTTGGTGGAATTGATTAATAAAATGATTTTGCCTTGTGTGTGATTTTCTGCAGACCCTTATGCTGGGTTGAGCACATGTCACTGGATAATGAAACTGGATTGGACCCTTCTGGTGTAAGAATTAGGCCTGTATCTGGACTTGTGGCAGCTGATTACTTTGCACCTGGTTATTTTGTATGGGCAGTTCTAATCGCAAATTTGGCACGCATAGGATATGAGGAGAAAAACATGTATATGGCTGCATATGATTGGAGGATCTCATTTCAGAATACTGAGGTATTTTTGAGACATACCCTTTCTTTTTCCTAAGAGTCTTTTTTTTTTTTTTTCCCCCCTGTGGATGATATAGTTCATTTCAATATTTTTTTTTGGTTATAATAGTTACGTTTGGATCAGCTTGAACCTGAGAATTGCTGTTCTTACACCCCTCAATAACTTATTTGAATTGTGTGAGATGTCTATAATGGTAATTTTATTTAGGGATAAAATTGTAATAAAAATAAAATTCATTAAGTGTGTGCAAAGAGTGGAATTGGTGTGTGCAAATAGAGGCTCCCTCCAAAAGGACAAGTTTATACAAAAAGACCAAACTAGCCATATATATATATTATACGGTAGGCAAAGCAAAACAACTCTCTCTCTCTCTCTTTCCTCTCCCTTCATCTCCTATTCCACTACCAACACGTCGGCATAGCCAACACTGTCATCCACTTTGCCGATCTCCTCCTCTGCCACCGTCACTACTAAAGCCATATCTATTGTCGCACTGTTGTCATGAAGAACGTCGCCCGTGAAGAAGATCGGCGTCAAGCCGTCATCTTAAAAAATGCATTGGTGATGAAACCCCAATGGTCGTCTCTATCTCTCTCTCTCTCAGATCGTAAAACCCTAGCCTCCTCTGTAACCTCTACTGCCTCCCACGGTCGAATATCTTGACACCATCTTCTATCTCCTCTAGAACTATCGCGGGATCCAGATCTGTTGCTTCCAGATTTAGATCTCAAGTTTTAAAGATCTTCAATTTACAAGCTATCATTGTTGCCTCTTTATATCATGTTTGGATTGACAGGAACTCCAAAATTTTCTCACATTTATTCAAAGCCTGAGGCTGTTGTGGGTAAAATTGTTTCTAATTTTACAAGTATTTTGTGTTCTTGAAAAGTATATTGAAGATGCAAAGATGAATAGGCACCTTTGTAGCCTATGGGGAATTTCTACCAAGATTCTCAAGTCTTGATTGTTTGTATTTGTTTGATTTGGGGTATTCCTGTTTGTTTGTAGTTTTGTGGAATAAAAGTAATATATGACAAACACAATGTTAACATGATTCGTTTCACAAGGTCTAGAAGAGCGGAAGAGCATGCTTGAAGTGAAAGAGCAGACACCGACTGGTTGGCGAACTCGCAGCACATCCTGGCTGAATAATGTCGTGTCAGGTGTTTCTGGATCTGTTTCAGGATATTTGGGAACTATTTAGAAAATCCCCTGTGGATCCTTATCTTAATCATCAGCTTGTTCTCCTCCAAGAAGCTGTAAGTAGGTACCTCCAGATTGTAGGGTGCTGGTCCCTTGCGGATCCTACTAGAAATGTCATAGTGTGAGCCATGGCAAGGGCAAAACCAACCACCAAAGTCACCAGCGTTTGGCAAGGGGATGCAACCCAGGTGGGTACAGACCCCAACAACAATAAGCCATTCTGGGTCCTTAACTCTGACAGAATCCTCTTGAGGATCTCGAAGGGAGGCAAGATCAACACTGTTAGCCAACTTGATGTCATCCTCAGTTCAACGCCTGATGAAAACAGGCTTACCACGCCACTTGACTGTAACAGTCGTCCCAGGTTCGATGCTAGAAAGGTCTACCTCAAGGGAGGCAAGGGCAAGAACGTCTTTAGTGGCAGACATGCTCAAGACAAACTTGAGTACCAGGAGACGCATCAAATGCACATACCAGGGAGTGAAGGCATGTGTAGAGGTCCGGCGGGCGGCCAAGGCGAGGCTGCCGCCCGCCGGTGAAGCAGAATTACTAGCTTCTTAACCTTGCTCTGATATCATGTAGAAATTTAATGTATAAAGAGAAATAGAGAATTGTATTATTGATTGATGTATGTTATATATTACAAATGGTGAGGGGCTCCTTATATAGGAGATGTAGTGGAGTAGGTGGTAGTAGGTGGTGGTAGGTGTAGTAGGTGGAGTAGGTGAAGTGGGTGGAGTAGGTGTAGTGGTAGGTTTTGGTACATTTTAACATTTACAATTCTTCGTTTCCAGAAAATACTTCAAGAGGTCTAATGGAAAACACTATACTAGGACTCTTTCTTTCTAGGAGGGAGGTTATATAAGCATTTAGTTGAGTGAACAAGTTAAACTAGTGTTTCTTAGAGCTAAATTTGTTGTCCTAGTTACACACTAATGGTGAATAACTAAACAATTTTATTTTATTTTTTAATTCCCAAGTGTACACGCAAATTAGGATAACTGGACTATTGATTTCAACCAAAATGGAAAATCCACTCTCAACAAATTATCCAAAATCCCCAACATAGGCTTCCCATCTTTTGTCATATTGTGTTCTATGGCTACTACCCATTAATCATTTATTCATAGAACGAAGTCCAAAGTTTATGTTAGTGAGAGCAAAACAAGTTAAACAATTCTCCACATACAGATTGCAGAGGTCAATACAAGAAAACCCTGCCCATGAAAATTTAAAAAATGAAATCAAAAACAGTTTCAAAAGTTTCAAAATGACTAAAATGGCTTTTGATTTATAAATCCATAAAAAGAGTAAAAAATGCAAAAAAGTACAAAGCTCTATTAGATTAGAACCATTTCCACATAGACAAAAAATAAAATAAAATAAAATAAAAAATAAAAAATTCAACATCTCCCCAACTTCCATTTTTTAATCAATACCCAACAAGATCAGCAATGTTAGTTAAGAATCAGATTATGAGGAACCCCCTGAAGATGGATGAAGAGTTTTCTTGGGTTGTTCAGCATAGGAATGGACAATCTTTTTCTCATTCAATTTACAAGCTATCATTGTTGCCTCTTTATATCATGTTTGGATTGACAGGAACTCCAAAATTTTCTCACATTTATTCAAAGCCTGAGGCTGTTGTGGGTAAAATTGTTTCTAATTTTACAAGTATTTTGTGTTCTTGAAAAGTATATTGAAGATGCAAAGATGAATAGGCACCTTTGTAGCCTATGGGGAATTTCTACCAAGATTCTCAAGTCTTGATTGTTTGTATTTGTTTGATTTGGGGTTTTCCTGTTTGTTTGTAGTTTTGTGGAATAAAAGTAATATATGACAAACACAATGTTAACATGATTCGTTTCACAAGGTCTAGTACTATAACTGGATTTGGGATCAAATAATTTGCAAATTCCATATCTATATAAACTAAAAAATCAGTAGAAATTTGAATCATAACTTCTAAAGTTCAATCAGATGCCCCAAAAGTCCTACTAAATTGAAGTTAGCCTAACAATAAATTAGAATACAATTAGAGTTAACATCAAATTAACGCCTGAGTCGTCCTCAGATTATTCGCAAACTCAAAAACAAAAAATAAAAATTAGAAAATCAAAAACTAGAATTTCATACAGAATCAATCAATTCATAAATGATATATATGATATATATATGGAAGTTACCTGTGGAAACACAGCTTCCATGAGCAATCTCTCCTCTAATCTCTCATCCTCCTGCCTACCCATGAAGCAGGAATCAACAACAATCTCTCTCTCTCTCTCTAAAACTCTCTCTCTAAATACACTAGATAGATAGATGCAGGTTCCGCAGATAGAAGGGTGTACGTTAGTGTTAGTTACACTATTCAGTTTTCACACGTTATTTCTATTTGTGTAAATTACACCCACCTCCTTGAAGTTTAAAAAAATTACAAATCATTCTATTTTTTTACATAATTATATTTAGCATCTCTAAATATTATTTTTTTTATCAATAATTTCTTAGTTATATAAATAAATAAAAAATTATGTTGTCATCTCTTTTCTATTAAAATATATAGTATATATCTTTATTTATTTTAGTGCCTATCCATTAGTGGTGCTCGCGGATCGAATCGAGTCGGGTAGCCTTTCATTTGCCATCTATCTATATTTAGTCGGATTGGAAAAAAATCAACTGGCATCCAACCGCTTAGTTAGGGAATGTGAATTGAGCGGGCCATGTGTATTGATAAGTGAATGCGAATCAGTTTGACAGTTTGACTTTACTATTTTGGCTTTTTTTTTTCAAATTATTTTTTAATATTTCTTTACTATTTTTTGTTCAAAATTTTTTTTTCTTTATTTTTTATAATGAAAACAAAAACCCAATTTTTATATTTCATAAATAGCAAATAAAATAAAATGTCATTTTTTTAACACATAAAGCATAAAAGCATAATATTCTTTTCTTAGGGGTGTTGGTAGATTGGGTTAAGTTGGGTGATTTCCTATCCGCCATCTGTCTGAATTTAGGTGGATTGGAAAAATGCATTACATCTGTCCACTAAAACAATTAAAACTCTCCATTCTGTGATGGATTGATTTGGGTCATTCAATTTTGACGAGTTAGATGGATGCTTGTCTAACTCTACTCCCCACTATCTAAATTAATTTCAAACTTTTTAATCTTACTAAAAGAAAAAATTAGTATAATTGTATTAAAAACATAGTATTAATATTTTGAAACTTAGAAAGTATGTAACTTAGTATTTATGTTTTGAATTACAATAAGGGCACTTGGGCCAAAAATCTATAATTGAATTTTCTAAGTCTAAGCGTTTATTTTGTTTGTCCAAAAGGACAAGCTTATACAAAAAGACCAAACTACCCATGTATATATATTATACGGTAGGCAAAGCAAAACAACAAACCCCCTCTCTCTCTCTTTCCTCTCCCTTCATCTCCGATTCCACCACCAACACGCCGACATCGCCAACACTGTCATCCACTTCGCCGATCTCCTCCTCTGCCACCGCCATCCACTTTGCAGATCTCCTTCTCTACCACCATCACTACTAAAGCCATATCTATTGTCGCGCTATTGTTATGAAGAACGTCGCCCGTGAAGAAGATCGGCGTCAAGCCGTCATCTTAAAAAATGCATTGGTGATGAAACCCCAATGGTCGTCTCTATCTCTCTCTCTCTCAGATCGTAAAACCCTAGCCTCCTCTGTAACCTCTACTGCCTCCCACGGTCGAATATCTTGACACCATCTTCTATCTCCTCTAGAACTATCGCGGGATCCAGATCTGTTGCTTCCAGATTTAGATCTCAAGTTTTAAAGATCTGGATTATAATCGTTAAGCCATTCGATGTACGAACCATTATCTATCGAACCATTATTGCTTCTAGCCGAGCTTGCGATGAAATCCTAAAATTCAAGATGTATATATCATTGTTGATCTATATGTGTTTTTTTTCTAATCTTTTCGATATATCAGTGCATATGTCTGTGTGTGTATATAAGTGTATGTATGTGTGTATATGTGTAAGCTTTGGGTTGGTTGTGGTTGTTGATTTATCTGTTGTGTTGTTGTTGATCTATCTGTTGTGCTGCTGTTGATTTAAGTTGGTGATGATGTCACACCCCAACCTCGCCCCTAAAAGTTTGGGCATGACCGACCCGATAGTGGGTCTCAAAACCAAATAGTCAAATAGCATGAATACCTTATATAATACGGGACCTGAATGGAAGCAATTATTAATCTAAAATGACATCCATTGAGCCAGTATTTAAATGCCAGAATCACAAAACATTTCATCACATATTCCAACACATAACGAAGCATATACATAAGTGACAACTATATACATACATACATATACAGTCCCAACCCCATAACTGGGGGTATAACTAAAACATTCAAGGGTGAAAGTTATACATGATTGTCGACATTTGACAAAAGTGCTAGTGAGCCATGAAAGGAACTCTACAAAAGTAAATGAACTTCATTTAATTGATTGGACATAGCGAGGTCGACAAAAGAGCTGCTAGGGCTGGACTAAGACTGACCTCTGAGCTGATTACCTACATAGACATACATAACACAGAGTGAGCGGGGCTCAGTGAATAATAGCATGTACACAATTCGTACAAATAAACAAAAACCACACCAAATGTAAATGCATAATTCACATGCTTGACCTTGTTATATATTCATTCCTAGAACGGCCTTCGGCCCAATATCATACAGAACGGCCGTAGGCCCACATATCAACAATTGTTTGAACATTGGAGGATAGGTAGAACATCGACATGTACACCACCTCCCTCGGCCTTAGGCCATGTGTTATAATCAATTCAAATCATTTTAGGGTCGATGAGATAGCGGCATGTCACCACCTCCCTCAGCCTTAAAGCTGCCAACAAGATCTAACTTATATCTGAACGGCCTCAGGCCCAGCAATGACAAAACAGAACGACCTCGGGTCCATAAGGATACCATTTCTCAATATCACACATAAATTTTCCAATTGTTCACCATATAGAGACATAGCTCATTCACGAATAACAATATGCTAACGATAACTATTCGTAGTAAATGAAACATATCACTACACTACTATTACTCACAGTGTTGTGGGGAAGCAATAGTCCTTTCCTAGGCGTGACCTACACACAACATGTAACTTATAAATTAGTCACTTTTCCTTAGGACATATCTGATTCGTTCAACCTTCATTTAATCATAAGTATTTTAAAAGCTTCAAATACACATTTTAGCAATCCTAGAGGGTCAAATAGAAGAAAAGAAGCACACAAAATTTTTCCTTTGGCCGCATGTGTGGAAGCCCCTCGCCGCACGTGCGGGAAGGTGTGCCGCACGTGCATTTGTTTCAGAACCTCAAATTTACATTCCCCTGTTTTCCGCACGTGCGACTGTGAGCCCCGTACGTGCGGTGGTGCTTCCCTCACGTGCGGCCATGGGCACCGCACGTGCGGTCGTAGTCCTTGTTTTGAGCAGTCTGAACGAAGGCAAACATCCAACTAGGTCAACACATCATAAGGTACAAAATAGAGGAATTTGACACAATATGATGGTATAACATCACACTAACATGAATCACAAGCTCAATTAAGTCTTCATTATCTTCAAATTCATATACACAACTCAATTCCTTCAAAGTTCTAGCTTAATTTGTCTAAACAAACATATGTTTAACCATCTAGTTGCATTAGTGAGCTCCAACATACAAAATTAAAGGATAAGATGCAATTCTTCTCCATATAGCTCAAAACAATTCCAAATAACCTAGAACAAGAAGTATTCTTCCAATTAACCAATTAACACCCACTTGGCTTTAAATTTAAACCATAATTCTCATGAATGTAAAAGAAATTCCAATTCAAATCAATTAAAGAGGTTATTTTTGGTGGGTTATTCCTACCTTGTACTCAAATCTCTACAATTCTTCTCAATTCTTCAATCTTCTCCTTGTTGAAGTCTCTTCCATTTCTTTTCCTCTCTCGCACCCTCTTCCTCTCAATAGATATTTCTTTTATGATATAAAAAGTGATCAAGTTAAGAGTTTTAAGAGGTCTATTTGAGGGTTAACCACAAATTACTCAATTTAATCATTATGAATCAAATTTTTACAAAAATTTATATTATTCTAGACGTCCCGAACGTCCTGGGGGAGATCCCCGTTTTGTTCGTTTGGGCTTACTATAGTTCGGACTCAAATTGTCACGGTTCTTAATTTGAACCAAAGAGTCCAAATCCGGCAAATCGTTTTGGAAAACAGATTTTTGTAAAGAAGTGCCAAACATGGACTGCTTTGCCAGATACAGAGTCGCCACCTAAATATTTTATTTTGGGGGAATTTAGGAAACCCTGACTTGTTTGCCTAAGGCCACGTGTCCGTTATCACCAATGTTGCCTCGACTCGGGAACTTGGGTACGATTGGGGAAGGTCAGCTATGAGCACCCCCTCTAGCCTGATCCGAAGATCGGCCTCTACTAACCATGATATCTTGTTTTGAAAACATTATGCGTTCTTATTCCGGTTATTAGCCTAGATTTACTATATGATGCGCACAGCATAACAAGTATAGACTGAGTCGCCTGAATTGGGACAAAGCATTTCATGTTTGTTTTGAAAACGGTTTGTTACTCGCAAGTAGGCTAAAATGCAGGTTTTGCCACCCTTAAGTGGGCTTAGAAAAGATGGTTTTGCCACTGTCTAGTGGGCTTAAAACTCATAGTCAATGCATTATTGCAATTCAGATAACCCAACCTTCACCTACAGGCATTCAGGCAGATATATCACATAAGGATATAGCCTCATGGTAAGCATGCTAATATGTTAACATCCACACTCATGCGAGATGCTAAAGCATAAGTAATTACAGCGTACTCCGAGCCAAAACAAGAAACTTGTTAGCAATCAAATATATGATCCAAGTCCATGTTAAGTGGCTAATGCATCGCATATAAAATGCAATCTAGAATAGGCTCGGCCAATCCTAGGATGGCATATGGAATGCAACAAGTAACACATATTCAAGTTAGATTTGAAATACTATGCAGTTAGTATGTTACGCCGAGCTCGGTGCATGCAAGACAAATGAATGGATGCACGCATGCATAACATAAGGTATGCTAAAGTAAATATAACCTAATACTAACCATCAAAAGCACGTAAGTAAAAGGGAGAAAGAAGTGGAGGTTGGAAGACATGCACACACGCACCCACACTTATTACATATTCGCCCTCGCTCGGAGGGACCAAAAGAATATACAAATTAATTAACCTACAAGCTAATTAATTAAATTATACAACACTTAACTAATTAA